GTACTGTCATTGGGAATATATATCAGGCTGACAGACTGTACTGTACTGTCATTGGGGAATATGTATCAGGTTGACAGACTGTACTGTACTGTCATTGGGGAATATATATCAGGTTGACAGACTGTACTGTACTGTACTGTCATTGGGGAATATATATCAGGCTGACAGACTGTACTGTACTGTCATTGGGGAATATATATCAGGCTGACAGACTGTACTGTACTGTCATTGGGGAATATGTATCAGGTTGACAGACTGTACTGTACCGTCATTGGGGAATATGTATCAGGCTGACAGACTGTACTGTACTGTCATTGGGAATATGTATCAGGTTGACAGACTGTACTGTACTGTCAGTCATATAGGGAATATGTATCAGGCTGATAGACTGTACTGTACTGTCATTGGGGAATATATATCAGGTTGACAGACTGTACTGTACTGTCATTGGGGAATATGTATCAGGTTGACAGACTGTACTGTACTGTCATTGGGGAATATATATCAGGTTGACAGACTGTACTGTACTGTCATTTGGGAATATATATCAGGTTGACAGACTGTACTGTACTGTCATTGGGGAATATGTATCAGGTTGACAGACTGTACTGTACTGTACTGTCATTGGGGAACATGTATCAGGTTGACAGACTGTACTGTACTGTCCTGTCATTGGGGAATATATATCAGGCTGACAGACTGTACTGTACTGTCATTGGGGAATATGTATCAGGTTGACAGACTGTACTGTACTGTACTGTCATTGGGGAATATGTATCAGGTTGACAGACTGTACTGTACCGTCATTGGGGAATATGTATCAGGCTGACAGACTGTACTGTACTGTACCGTCATTGGGGAATATGTATCAGGTTGACAGACTGTACTGTACCGTCATTGGGAACATGTATCAGGTTGACAGACAGACTGTACTGTCCTGTCATTGGGAATATGTATCAGGCTGACAGACTGTACCGTACCGTCATTGGGGAATATGTATCAGGTTGACAGACTGTACTGTACTGTACCGTCATTGGGGAATATATATCAGGTTGACAGACTGTACTGTACGTACCGTCATTGGGGAATATGTATCAGGTTGACAGACTGTACTGTACTGTCATTGGGGAATATATATCAGGTTGACAGACTGTACTGTACTGTCATGGCCGGGGAACATGTATCAGGTTGACAGACTGTACTGTACTGTACTGTCATTGGGGAATATATATCAGGTTGACAGACTGTACTGTACCGTCATTGGGGAATATATCAGATTGACAGACTGTACTGTACTGTACCGTCATTGGGGAATATGTATCAGGTTGACAGACTGTACTGTACTGTCCTGTCATTGGGGAATATGTATCAGGTTGACAGACTGTACTGTACTGTCCTGTCATTGGGGAATATATATCAGGCTGACAGACTGTACTGTACTGTCATTGGGGAATATATATCAGGTTGACAGACTGTACTGTACTGTCCTGTCATTGGGGAATATATATCAGGCTGGCAGACTGTACTGTACTGTCATTGGGGAATATGTATCAGGTTGACAGACTACTGTACTGTACTGTACTGTACTGTCATTGGGGAATATATATCAGGTTGACAGACTGTACTGTACTGTCATTGGGGAACATATATGAGGTTGACAGACTGTACTGTACTGTCATTGGGGAATATATATCAGGTTGACAGACTGTACTGTACTGTCATTGGGGAACATGTATCAGGTTGACAGACTGTACTGTACTGTCATTGGGGAATATATATCAGGTTGACAGACTGACTGTACTGTACTGTCATTGGGGAATATGTATCAGGTTGACAGACTGTACTGTACTGTCACTAGTATTGGGGACTTGTGCATCAGGCTGACAGACTGTACTGTACTGTCATTGGGGAATATGTATCAGGTTGACAGACTGTACTGTACTGTCATTGGGGAATATGTATCAGGTAGACAGACTGTACTGTACTGTCAACGGGGAATATGTGTCAGGTTGACATACTGTACTGTACTGTCAATAGTATTGGAGACTTGTGCATCAGGTTGACAGACTGTACTGTACTGTCATTGGGGAATATATATCAGGCTGACAGACTGTACTGTACTGTCAATGGGGAATATATATCAGGCTGACAGACTGACAGACTGTACTGTACTGTCATTGGGGAATATATATCAGGTTGACAGACTGTACTGTACTGTCATTGGGGAATATGTATCAGGTTGACAGACTGTACTGTGTACTGTACTGTCATATCATGGGGAATATATATCAGGTTGACAGACTGTACTGTACTGTCCTGTCATTGGGGAATATATATCAGGCTGACAGACTGTACTGTACTGTCATTGGGGAATATGTATCAGGTTGACAGACTGTACTGTACTGTCATTGGGGAATATGTATCAGGTTGACAGACTGTACTGTACTGTACTGTCATTGGGGAATATATATCAGGCTGACAGACTGTACTGTACTGTACCGTCATTGGGGAATATGTATCAGGTTGACAGACTGTACTGTACTGTCATTGGGGAATATATATCAGGTTGACAGACTGTACTGTACTGTACTGTCATTGGGGAATATGTATCAGGTTGACAGACTGTACTGTACTGTCATTGGGGAATATGTATCAGGTTGACAGACTGTACTGTACTGTACTGTCCATGGGGAACATGTATCAGGTTGACAGACTGTACTGTACTGTCCTGTCCTGTCATTGGGGAATATATATCAGGCTGACAGACTGTACTGTACCTGTCATTGGGGAATATGTATCAGGTTGACAAACTGTACTGTACTGTCATTGGGGAATATATATCAGGTTGACAGACTGTACTGTACTGTCCTGTCATTGGGGAATATATATCAGGCTGGCAGACTGTACTGTCCTGTCATTGGGGAATATATATCAGGTTGACAGACTGTACTGTACTGTCATTGGGGAACATGTATCAGGTTGACAGACTGTACTGTACTGTCATTGGGGAATATATATCAGGTTGACAGACTGTACTGTACTGTCATTGGGGAACATGTATCAGGTTGACAGACTGTACTGTACTGTCATTGGGGAATATATATCAGGTTGACAGACTGTACTGTACTGTACTGTCATTGGGGAATATGTATCAGGTTGACAGACTGTACTGTACTGTCATTGGGGAATATATATCAGGTTGACAGACTGTACTGTACTGTCACTAGTATTGGGGACTTGTGCATCAGGCTGACAGACTGTACTGTACTGTCACTAGTATTGGGGACTTGTACATCAGGCTGACAGACTGTACTGTACTGTACTGTCATTGGGGAATATGTATCAGGTTGACAGACTGTACTGTACTGTCATTGGGGAATATGTATCAGGTTGACTGACTGTACTGTCAACTGTCATTGGAGACTTGTGCATCAGGTTGACAGACTGTACTGTACTGTCATTGTCATTGAATATATGTATCAGGCTGACAGACTGTACTGTACTGTCAATGGGAAATATATATCATGTTGACAGACTGTACTGTACTGTCAATGGGGAATATATATCAGGTTGACAGACTGTACTGTACTGTCAATGGGGAATATATATCAGGTTGACAGACTGTACTGTACTGTCAATGGGGATTATGCATCAGGTTGACAGACTGTACTGTACTGTCATTGGGGAATATATATCAGGCTGACAGACTGTACTGTACTGTCATTGGGGAATATATATCAGGTTGACAGGCTGTACTGTACTGTCATTGGGGAATATATATCAGGTTGACATACTGTACTGTACTGTCAATGGGGACTAGTGCATCAGGTTGACAGATTGTACTGTACTGTCTTGGGAAATATATATCAGGTTGACAGACTGTACGGTACTGTCATATGGGAATATGCATCAGGTTGACAGACTACTGTAACTAAAGTTTTGGAGAATTGTTTATGAAGATTGTACTGTAGTGTACTGTACTTTCAATAGAGCATTGGGGAATTGTGTATCAAGCTATGACAGACAACTGTACCTATAGTACTTGGAAAATGTGTATCAGGTTGACAGACTGTACTACATTATTGGGGAATAGTTTAATCAGACAGAAGTTGACATGACATATCTGAAGTTCTGTAATCGGCAACTTAAGTGCTTGCTATATGCTAAGGGGGTTTTCTGAGTAACCTAAGTGCTTGCTATATTCTAAGGAGTTTTTCTAAACCTATGTGCTTGCTATATGCTAAGGGTTTTTTCTGAATAATCTAAGTGCTTGCTATATTCTAAGGATTTTTTGTGAATAACCTAAGTGCTTGCTATATTCTAAGGGTTTTACTGAATAGTCTAAATGCTTGCTATACTCTAAGGAATTTTGTTGAATAATCTTGGTGCTTGCAATAAGTATGTGTTCATGTACATGTTCTTGTTGGTGAGAGGCACAATGCAGGGCTGATGGGATGGTCCAATGATGGTCCTAGACACGTTTGCGAAATCCATGAAATTACAACTGTGTTTTATGTTATATACTAAACAAAAAAAGAAACTTCACATGTATTTGTCCAAAACATTCCCATATACAACTAAGTGTTGCTTGTGGATAAATCTGGTTTATGGACGCCATGAGGAATTATTGAAACAGGGTTAGGCATTAAGGTTCGTGCACACTCCCATCAACAGTAGCATAATAAGGTCACCTTATTTCAAAGGGACAAGCCATATACATTGGAGCTTCTTTAGTACCAGGTATGCCCCTTAGAAACTAATTCATTTCTCTAAGTGTGAAGTTTCATTTTTTGTTCAGTATTCATGTTTCCTAAATTTTGGAAATAATTCCTTTGGCTTCCATCCCACCATATTTTGATGAGGAGCATCATTGGTTTGGGAGGATCCAAATGAACTATTCCCAACTTACAGCTTTCGATAAATGCAGCTGTTTGATCACACAACCACCTGCTGCTTGTTATGTAGATGTGTAATGTAGATGTTTAATGCTTAAGACTGCCTACCTTTTCTGCCGACTTTAGTTTCCAGTCTATTCTCAGTCCACAATGAAACAGTCACACAAAATTTGTCCACAATGTGTCCACAATTTGTCCAATCCAAATGAATCTTGAGTTCCTGGTGAAAGTTCAGACACTATCTTCAAATCACAAGAAAGCATCTTTCCCAATGAAACTGACACGCTTTCCATGACCTCGGTGGGGGGCTTGCTTGTGTCATCTGCCCAACTGTGACAACAGTAACCACAGCACCTGAAAAAAGCAACAAGCTATGGTTATTGGTACAGTTCATAAAACATAATCATAAAATATGATGAAATGGAGTCCAGAAACTTTCTTCATTTCAGCCTTAAACACTGGTAATCTGGACTTGCCACATATTCTAGACTTGCATGGGCTTTCTTGGACATATTTGTTTCAGGCTCTGTATGAAAGACTTTAACTGACGGAACATTTTCAAAGCACATTTTATGAACTGGATCAGATAAGCAAACAATGATAAACTATTACGGATTGAAACTTAATATATTATCTCTGAATGTCTATCGTGTGACAATAATATGGAGGTCCATAGGCCATACAACTGTGACAGATATAACTTTGTACATAGGAATTTTATTATTTTATTGTTTTCTATTCTGTATATATATATTTATCAGTAGGATAGTTAAGATATATATAGGTCATGTGTCCCTCAAGCCCTTAACAAACCCAAGCCATGACGTGCTCAACTGATTGGCCAAGCTAACCCTCCAAGTTAAACCCTTTGTCTAATAGCTTGCACTCAGTCTGCACAAAGTCACTCCACAGACAAGTTGACAGAAACTTCAAATCAGGTCAGTTTAATATAGCTCTCTATATTTATATTATTGCATTTATATGTTGTAGTACATTTAACTTGTTCTATTAAAGTAAACTAAGTGGGTTTTTTATCTAAATCTCATCCATTATCTATTTACCTAAATATGCTAAACCAGGCTTATTAAATTGTAAGCTATTGTAAATACTAACAAACAGCTTTTCTATATCTTTGTTGTGGTTAGGTATGTGTATGCAATATACGGTATAAAAATTTCAAGTAGTATAAGTGTGTTACTCTTAGTATATATTTTATTCAGATATATTCTGGAAATATTGCTGTGCTGGTCGACACCCCAGTCTCATCCACAGGGTAGGCGCATTGCTTGTATTGTCCATTTGAGATTTGTATGATTATTAGATGTGTCATACTGTTTTGTACAATTAACTACATCTATATGCATTACTTAAAAAGTGTAATATAGATCAGTTAACTACCTACCCATTTACTATATGAGTACAATTTGTATAAAAGTTCATAATCTTATTGCAATTAGAATATTTATAAATATATATCGTGCTATATACTTGGCAAGATTGGTTGTAACCTTACTAGTCTGTTTACAACTACTAGTATGACCTATTGCAACATTATTTCTATAAATGTTTCGGGGTGATTTATCGACTAATAAATGTTCCTTCGGGCAATAGCTCCCACCCGTAGCGTGTGTTTGTAGTTTATTACATTCACTGCCCTGCTACACAACTAAGCACAATAATGTCTGCTGGTAGATTACGTGAACTGATCTCAAACACCCAACCAGAATGAAGATGTGCTAAGCATGAACAATTTCTAATATCTCAATTTGATTGAAATGTCTAAAATATATTAAACTATGCACCATATGTATAAGATCAGTGCTTAATATGATGCCAAAGTTAAGTGTGGGGTGTGTGGGTGGGGAAAGTTAGAGAAAAAAACATACCAAACTGTCAACTGCAACAATGCTTTCACTGTTCCACTACCGAGATGGCCAAACTCATGTTTAGTACAAGGAGTGTCAAAGCAAATTATCCTGCACTTGGAACAAGATCAAACTCTTGTAAATGTGACACTAAGTTACCAGAATGTGCTATTTTAATAGGCAAGTAGAAAGTAATCATAAACATGACTTAAAGTTTGTATCACGTATGTCACATCAGCAATATTTCAGCCTTATGACAAATAACATCTCAGAAAATGCACTTTTGATAATTTCAAATATTTGTTTATCGTATTAAATATTACTCAGTCCAAAAAGAAACCGTGCATCTCAAAATCTCGTATAGATCATTAGGAATAGAAGTAAAGTTATGAAATAATATGATAAACGTGTTATGCCCACATTGAACTGATTGTTACGCACTTCCCGATAACATCATGCACATCATGCGTGGGACGTCACTACACGTGCAACCATACACCACTTTCAACAGTTGAAATCAGTGAATGCTGACAATAAAATTTGAAGCGTTGTACTGCCTCCCTTTAAACAAGAGTCATCAGAAGATGACATATCCCCCCGGCCCCCACATCTTTGAAAGAACAAATAATCTGACAGTTACTTAAAGTCCAGCTTGATTTTAGACTAAGTGCAAATCGTTTCCATGGAAATCATGAAAAACAAATGACAAAACGTTCCGTGGAAAATGAGAATAAAAATGCCAAGAATCTGTAAATAGCAAAATGCACCACTTCAAGATCTGCCTCACATATCTGCCAAGTTATATTGAAAGATATTGAACGGTTTTCAAGTTGTGCTCCGGAAATGAAACCTACACCTCCCTTTTGAGACTAAGTCTGAATCGTTTCCATGGAAACCAAGAAAAATACAAATGCCAAAAATATGTAAAGAGCAAAAGGCACCACTTTGGGATCTGCCTAACATATCTGCCAAGTTTTGCTGAAAGATATTGAACGGTTTTCAAGTTGTGCTCCGGAAACGAAACCCACCCCTCCTTTTTGAAGCCAAGTCCGAATCGTTTAAATGGAAATCAAGAAGACATAATAAATCACAAAAATCTGTAAATAGCAAAAGGCACCACTTTGGGTTCTGTTTGATATATTTACCAAGTTTTGCAGAAAAATACTAAACGGTTTCTGAATTATGCTCAGGAAACGAAATCCACCCCTCCTTTTTGAAGCTAAGTCCGAATCGTTTCCATGGAAACCAAGAAAACATAATAAATCACAAAAATCTGTAAATAGCAAAAGGCACCACTTAGGTCTGTTTGGAGTACAATATTATGCTCCAGAAACAAAAATTATTACGGACGGACGGACCGACATGCCGGGGGAATAAAAAACAAAGAATTTGGCTCTTTATTCAGACAATATGCCACGACTGTCAAAATGCACAACGTAATCAAGCAATCAAGCCACACCCTCCAGCGACAGTGCAAGAACTGACTGCAGCACTAATCCGGATTTGGAATAACATTCCTCAAGTCTTCCTGATTCATCGACCCAATCAGACGTGACGTTGTAATGCAACGACTCAGGCAAATGGAGGACATAACCGATATTAAGGATGTGAAATTACTGTTTGACCCCTCGAGTGTTCTTGGACCTATAGGTACGCTGACGTTCATTAGAACGACCTACTGACTCATAATGTGCTTGTCTATCAATAAAAATGCCTGATCGTGTAATATTTCAAAAAGACTGATTAAAACCGTAGAATGATTCAATGCACAGTTTCTTTTTGTACCTAGTATTTAAGTCGATAAACAGAAATATTTGATGAAATTATCAAAATAGCATTTTTTGAAAAGCAGTACTGGATCATAATTTTGGTGGGGAGGTTGAAGATTTATCTGATTAAGTTAACATTTATATGACACGCATACCTGACAGAAATATAACTTTTCACAGATTTAAACAACTCCTATTACAATTTTTCAAAATTCATTTAAAATTAAACAAAAAATGTCTTCCTTCTACAAAATATGAACACGTGACTTGCATTTGGGTTTCAGTTTGATGTCATGGCATTTTACCCTTAATCGCACCATTGACCCTCTAAGTTTCATCCCATCAATCTTATTAATCTCGATTTCACTATTCAGATGAGTAATATTTAATCCAATTCTACAAGTTTACTCTATTTGATTCCTACATGGTCATAGATCAAATTGATTCAGTAATAAATTCAAATATTTCTGTAATTGATTCATCCAACTTTACATGCATCTTAAAGCATTTCCAACAATACATTCTTAATTTTGTCACTCAATAAAGGAGAAGTTAAGTTCCATCCGCCAATAAACAGTGAAAAGACTTTTCACCCCTTACAGTTTACTAAAAGTGCCCGATGTTTTCTACACATTGAGGAGTAGGTGGGCTAACTGGGGCGGATCCAGAGGAGGGTGCGCCCCCCGCCCCGCCACACCCCGTGGAGCATTGGAGCATTTCCCAATAACCTTCGCAATACATATTTATGTTCACCCCTTCACCAAAATCTTGGAACCACCAATGCGCAAAAACAACGATGCGTGCAATGAACAGTACGATATCAGTTACCGTGAAAACGGTAAAACATTGGCACAACTTAAATCCAAAATATTATTGCTAAAAAAAAGCCATTTTGCAACTTGGGACGTCGAATCGAAATTGATGGACAACCGATTCCTCTGCTGCAGGCAACATTGGGAAGAAACTGCACGAAAAGTTTCGGATATATTTTTAATATTTTTTTCTAAATGAAATATAAGATGTTCAGCAAATTAAAACACTTCCGCTCATTCCCCCACCAGCACGGGTTCTATGTAGTTTTTTTACGTTTCATACCGTTTCCTATCGACTGCCGCTAAATATTTTCAATTTATACATGTTTGAAGGGATGCGGGCAGAATTCTACCAAAGGCTGAAACTTATAGAATGACCACGACAATGTCGACATATTTTAAAATTCTAAGTGAATGTTTGTTAATTCAATCTTTCGACTTGCCATTCATAAAACATATTTTTCATCCTTTTCTCCCCATGAAGAGACAGTTCCACACATAAATAAAGTAAAAGGTTAACCAAGATATATTCGAAGATTGGCATCTTACAAAAACAAATACTAAGTTTGTCATTTCTAGTTTTTCGCGTTCCTCACCCGAAACCGTCACACAAAGTTCATTGAAAATGTTCCACATAAGCAATACTACTCCACATTAGTGTTTTAAAAATGTAGTTTACAAAAGAGTATATATTTCAACATCTATACTGATTGTGATACCATTTACCATCCGATATAAATGACAGGCCATCGAATAACATAATTCAAACATTCATAAAACAATTGTGATTTCCTACCTTTATCCCCGTCGTTTCCAATCCATTAAAGACACACCAGCACAAGATTTGTCCAAAACCAATGAGTTCAATCCAAATGAAACTGTTGTTCCTCGCGAAAGTTCAAACACCGAATGTTCAATCCACAACAAAATCTATGCAATGAAATTCATTGACGTCTGCTCTTGAGCGCGCGCTGGTGTCGTCTGCCTTTTCATCTGTCAAAAGCGTGTCAATCACATCAGAATGCACGTGGAAATCGAGAGTTGAATTTAGGAGAATGTTCGTAGTATCGGGAACACGTTCGCGTGTAATGTGGCTCCAAGTGGATTGCCATTACTTGTTAATGAAAGGTTCAGGGGTTATGATGTCGAATTAAATTAATCGATGTGACAAACATGAAAACCTTTTTATACTTCCAAACTACATTTACTAATGCAGGTTAATACATATCATACCATAACGTCCGTTAAAACTAATAAACGGATGTTTACAATGGGTTTTTTTATATATTTTTTTGTTTATTTATCAAACCCCGAGACATCATGTTGAACATTGTGAATAAAAACGTTAAAGCAAATACGCTATGCAATAAAAAACACAAAGAATTTCAGGTGAGTTGGGGAGGTGGGGTACGGTAGCCTGGTGGTAAAAGCATTCCCTCGTCACGACGAAGACTCGCATTCAGTTCCCAATATGGACACTATGCGTCAAGTCCGTTCCTGGTGTCCGCTCCGGGATACTTTTCAAAATGCATTGCGAATTTAGTGAATGTGTTATGGGATTTATGAACCGTTACTAAATTTGCTGTTCAATGCAACTTGACCATGTACAGTAGTTGGCCATAAGTGAGTCAACATTAGTGAAATTCTCATAGACTTGCATGTTAATTAACTCTTGCAAGAATAATTTTCATAAATTTAGTTTCGATCGAATTGCTTTCAATACTTATCTCCAAGCTGGGATTTCATCTCAGCTACATACACATAATTTCCATTCAATTTTCCGATGATTATTAAGAAAACTACATTTAAACAACATATATTAGACATACCAATCAGGTTTAACATGGCTGTCTATGGGATAGATTAAACTTAAGTTGTACTTATGGTGCTTAATCAGATGTCATTCGATAACTAATCAACGGAAAGATGAAAGAAAATTATGTACACGTAGCTGAAGATGATTTCCAAGATGTTTGCAAAATATCAAAATAAAATGACTTCTACTCAATTTATGAAAATTACTCTTGCAACAGTTAATTAACATGTAAGTCTATGGAAATTTCACTAATGATGACTCACTTACGGCCACCTACTGTAACATATAATATATTTGGGATTACTCTTTCTTAGTAAAGTACAGATTCTAGTACTACTTGTTGTTGGGTTGTGTCCCATCCATGTGCCTGACTCTGACAGTGTGGGTTCGAATCCCGGGTGGGACTCAACCTAACAAAAGTACTAGAATCTATACTTTACTAAGAAAGTGTAATCCCAAATATAACATATGTTACATTTAACCACTTTCTAAATGCCACTGTGTATTTACATTGTCAACTTTACCATGTTAGTAACAGAAAACAACGCTTGAGTGGGTGTGTTTCGAGACACAAAAGTCGTCGTTACACACCCCATTTTCAACACTGACATGTGCATTGATATTTCGTGTCAGCTCGATATTGTCACGAAATTGTACACATAAAACATGCATCTGAACGACCAAATTGATTGAATATAGTAAGCATCTTCATTTTATCAAATTTGATGCCGAAAATATCGTTGATTCATCCCATCTTCCCCTGTTGTATGCTGGAAATAAACTGAACGCCCAGTAATAGTAACTAGGAAATGGTCCTTTTGATCTGTAATAATAATGCTCAGTGGTGGAGTCTGATATACATGTATGTCCAACTGACTGCATTTACACGCAAGCCCTTTATATTGTTATCACATAATAAGATTAATCATAAATACATTTAATACATTTGAAACACATAACTGATTAATTCAACCACGTATTTTCGAACAATGTATGTGCTTTAAAAATGTCAGAGCTGAATGGGATGATAATAAAGAAGAATATATTTATTATTTTTTATTCATTTGGTAATGTCATAAATCATTTCACTATGACATTCATATCTATTCTTCCATTGTTCATAGGGTTGATCATGATGACGAAATAGCCATTGATCTTTAAAAGTATAACAATAGACATGGTGTGGTCACATCTGTGTGGTGCTACCAAGACGTTGATTACAGATCACACCATTGGCGTGATATCTACTGAATACAGAAAACCACATGACTATGATAAATAGAGGATATTATATGAGTGCCCATGTCACACTATGTTTACGACACGAATGTTTGTATTTCCCGAGCGAGAGCGAGGGATATACCGATATTTAGGCACGAGTGTCTGATATAGTATGACATGGTATGTATGAAACATAGTATGATATGGGCACGAATATAATATTCTGTTTATTACCGAAGTCGTCAACTTTGCAAATTGAGGAAAATAACCCAAATCTACTTTCAAACATTGGCTATCTACCCGCCGTCGCCGCAAGTAGAACGCAACGTCACAGAAGAAACGTGACGTCATAGCATTATTCATGACGTCACGTCACCGTGACAAAGTGATATTTTGCCCAAGGGCATCGTATGAAAAATATGAACCCTCGATATGTTCGCCGTCGTAGGTAATAAATATATTTATTACTCGCCCGAGGAAGATACTGCGGTGTAATATTTTTTACGGCAATATTACACTAGTGTAATACCGCAAGACGTATGACGGCAGAATGGTTCACAGTTATGACGTCACAATGCTAAATACCTCTGTCACAATGGTATTAGACCTTGCTTGAAAATTGAGTCATCACAATGTGGGCAGTTTATTTTAATTTATGTTCGAGAGTAAAAAAACAGAATACTAAATTGGCTTCCCTGAAATACCATTTTTATTAAACTCGTGAGCTTTCGCTCGTTTGTATACCAATAACCTCACGTGTAATATGCCATGCTACCATGCTCCACAATCATGTTTTGTATTTTTATACATGTCACCGTACATATTCTTTTTGTACGTAATACATGAAAATGGGGAAATAAAAGCCTTGAATTTAAAAAAAGAAACAAATAAAAACAATGTTCATATGGATCTAAAAGTTTTCCCTAGTTATTTCACTAGGTGATCAAAAAATATATCCGCTAAACCTACCCTGTAACGATGGAAGATATGGGACATCATCGGCGATATTTTCGTCATCAAATTTGCTAAAATAAATATACTACAGTCCGTTTGATTACATTTTAGACCGATGAATTGCTCACTAACACAAAACCTAATAAATGCAAAAAACAGAATTTCCAAAGTCCCGTGAAATCGACAGACCAACTCTGATGATTTGTCTCATAATTTTGGACACCCGAATATAAAAGTTGTTTAATAAACGATCATTATTTTGTTGTCACATGTCGCTATTTCTTACGAGAGGGACCACTTGCTGGTAGAACAGAATCCCACGACCCAAGACACTCAAGCATTTCACTCAGACGGACTATTACGCAGTGTTGAAAAGGTGTCAGCCCGGGACCGCCACATTTCCCAGTTAGTATAGTCCCAGGAGCGCCACAATTGATTTCACTGCAGTTTTCTGAAAAAAGAGCTCACTGCTTAAGTCTTAATGACCACATGGGGTGTCCTCCCAGACAAATTAATTAATGGTTCAGTGCACATAGGTGGTGTTTCCACATCCCTACAATGAAAGTGGGATCAGCCCAGTTGTTGAAGAGTACCCACAGGATTCATTGATGAGTAGATTAATGAAATAAATTATCAAAGATTATATTTACACAGAAGAAATAGTTCATTAATATTTTATTTATTCAGAAGAATATGTATGATAACTCACTTTTATTGACAATTATGAAGTTTGAAAGTCATTTTGGTTTAAACATATTTTATTATTATTTATGAAAATGAATTGGGATTGGTGAACAAGCATTACTGCTTATGTTAACACCGCTCCCATGCAACATAAAATACAAAATGAAATGGAGGATGTGACGTCATCGATATTGACTCTTGCATATTTTTAAGTACAAATAAATATATACAGATTACATCAAATACAACTATTCTCTAAGTAGTCATAATTAGAGACTTACAGTTGTGTGTGTCTAACAAGCTATTGTAGGAATATAAATCAATCATGAGAAGGTAGTTGAGTTAATTTAAGTATTTTCCTGAAAAAAATTGAAGCGTTGTCTTGATGATATAATCGTGGACGGATTCAACTATTTTCTGGTTTACACAAGGAGTAAATTCTTTGTTTCCGTTCAAAATGGTATCCAGGTTATAACGGGTAGTGTCGGGTAAAAATGATTTGGCATAAGAAGTAGTTCGACTGTAAATTCCTTGCATTTCAGTGTTATTTCTTAAACTATATCTTGTAGTTTCAGAGATGGAGTAAATCTGAGTAGGTAACTGAATTTCTCTTTCAAAAGATAACGAAGTTACCTACACAAAGTGTTCAATTTTTAAAGACATTTACCTGAGTATGTTAATCAATTTATCTTAGTAAGTTTCATTAAGACTTCCACAAGATTCAGTTACATAGCAAATCAGTAATTACCTAGGCTTAATCCATTCTATCAGACAGGGGAGTATGGTGTGTTTTCTTTGTTAATTACCTACTCCACTGTCTCATAACTGGGAGTCTCACAATTGGGAGTTCTCACAAATGGGAGTAGACCCATGTATATAAAGACAAATCCGTTTGACACTGGGTTAAGTTGCTCAGAAAAAACCCAGTTTGGCACTGATATAATAATCATGCTTGTATATAAAGACAAATCCGTTTGACACTGGGTTAAGTTGCTCAGAAAAAACAGTTTGGCACTGATATAATAATCATGCTTGTATATAAAGACAAATCCGTTTGACACTGAGTTAATGTTGCTAAGTAAACGACCATATAAAAACTTTTGTATTGTATCTTGAATGAACAATGGACATTATGATATGGACATTAGGTCAACCAAAAGGTATCATTATTATTACACATTTCCACCAGAGAGTAAATGTTTATTTTCTATTAACAATGCTTTAACTAAGTATCAACTTGTCGACTTCGTTATCACCTTGTGTTTTTAAGTGTAATATATTGATGCATTATTTGATCAT